GGTTATAAGTAGGCCGAGGCAAGACAAAGACTCTTCTAATTCGTAAGTTGTTGTATAATATTTTAAGTAATTCATACAATTTTTAATATGGTTTCCTGCCTTGTTCTGCATGAATTGTAAGGATTTTATATATCGATCGATTTATTTTTTTATGTAGGATAAGAAAATAACATTCAGGATTGTATTAAATGAGATTAGCTATATGACAATTTGCAAAAACCAAAAGACACTTTCAGTAAAGTAGGTCAAAAAACTTGTATAACGAAAAAACAATTCGGATTCTTTTTTCAAGATCCTTTAAAGCCCTTTAATAAGAAACTTTATTTTACAAAAAGGGATTTTTGGGCTGTATAAGCAAGGGCATTTCTTTTCTTCGCCCATGTCCGGTGTTTTCTGCTTTAAAAATTAGTAACACCTCGGGATTTAATCCAAATTCAATATTAGTACAACTTTTGAAAACTTGAATTTTCCTTCACTCAGTCTCTATCACCAATCTCTCAGAAAACCTAATTTAAGAAAAGACCAATTCGGATTCGTTGTAAGTGTATTAAGGCCATAAATAAGTATTTTTAATAGCAAACTAAAAAGTAAACATATTTGAGCGGTATTACCCAGCCGGTGGAGTTTTTTTTTGGCAAATTTTTCCTCCGATGTGCCAGTGTTTGCTTCACATAAAAATGCATAGCCACTGTGGATTTTAACCAAATTTAACTTTTTTACAACCGTTCGAAAGCTGATTTTTTTCTACTTTTAAACATTACCAGTATGGTTTAAATTTTCTGTTATTATTAGTGAGAAAAAGAAGAGTGGAATCAACAAAAGCTTTCTAAACTTTTTATTTTATATCTCTATAGTTCTAAAAGTGAGATCCGATCTGTGCTATTATGTGTGATTTATAACTTATTTACAAAACTTGGGTTAAGTTTCCCGTAGATCAGTAAAGTCATTTCATAATTATCACCATTTTTCTTATTTTTGAACAAAAAAACATCGGAAATGCGTTTGTTTTTTCCAAAAATTTGTATTCGGGGTTTTTTCGTTGTGCAGAACACTAAAAAAAGGCTAAAATAAAGTTGAATTTGGGTAAAATCCAGAGTAGTTATGATTTTTTTACGAATGAATCGGTGAAAAAAAAATTCTTCCGGCTACTCCATCTCAAAAAAAAAATAAATCTAAGAGTTATAAATTTTGATAGCTTTTACTATATTTTTATTGAAATCTACATAAAAAATGCTGCAAAGTGATATATTCACATAGTTGATTTGAGCAAGTAGAACGCCGAAATAAAAATATTAAATTTGAACTTTCAAAAAATTGTTTTTTGGCGAAACCAGGGCCTATTCGCCAGAAGTGGCGGATACGTGTCCGAAATTTGGAGTGTAGAATCACCGAAAAAACGTTTGGCCCAAATCCGTGACACAGCTACCTGGTCGTCCCCTTGTAAGTTACTAAATTGTATATATTCCAGTATCTGCGATACTCACGCTGAGACTAGCTGGAAAATACAATTGGATGTTGTGACCTTGCGACTTATCAAAGTCTGGTAAAACATGTTTTTAACTAGAAACAAAATTTGTGTTTTATTCACCCTCAAAAGCCCCTAAATACAAATTTGTGTATTTATTTTTCCACAAAATCAGATTACTTTTTAAAAGGAAAATAAAAAAAAACTGTGATAACTTTAAAACGGCTCAACAAATCTGCATGTAACTTTACAGATGTTTCGACCCTATAAACAATACGTAATGGCATAAAATTTGGCATACGTCGATCAATTAAAAGCGGGGATATAAAATGAAACGTATGAGGAGTTTTTTTTGTTGGTCTTATCTTTTTTTCTCATTTATAATGACATAAAATCTAAAGCTTCTTGGCGTAGAGTAAAGATAGATACATTTAGCTTTCTAACGGTTAAAATAACGTTGAATTTGGATAAAATCCAGTGTAGTTATGAATTTTTTACGTGGAACATCATACATCGGAGAAAAAAATTGCTTCAGGCTACTAACCCAGACCAAAAAATGTAAATCTTTAATATTATGAAAATCCGTATTTAAGGGCATTAAAGTATGCTTAAAACGAATCTGAATTATTTTTTTTCACTATAAAAGATTTTGACTTACTTTGCTGAAAGCGCCTTTATCGTTTTTGTAACTTTTTACACATCTACTCTCATTTAATACAATCCTACATATTTAGATAATAAAGCTAATAAAATGCACAAAAACAGAAAAATTCAACGTAATTTTTCTGCTTTGGTCGTTCACTAAGTTTATTGCCTCTTTGTTATGTGTTTGGTTTTTGATTTTTACGTTGAATTTGGTTTTGTTTTTTGTGCTTTTTTATTACATTAAAGTTGGGAATTAAGTTTTGCCCAAGACAAAAAGTTGAATTATTGGGTTGTCCGGAAAATAATGCAGGATTTTAAGTTTTCATTAAAAAAAATCTATATAAAATATTCTGTTTACGTTTACAGGATTACTCATTTGTATGAATGTCAACACTTATTAATCCTCTTCCAAATGATATTGTTTGTTTACCTCTGTAGCATTCCGCTACTTGGAAATAATTCAGTCATCCTTATAATGTCAAAGCGAGAATTTCGTACGATTTTCTTTTACGAGTTTAAACTCGGCCGAAGCGGAGCCCAAACGGCTAGAAACATTAACCAAGTCTGGGGCGAGGGTTGTGTTAATGAGTGCACTGTGCAAAGGTGGTTTAAAAAATTTCGGGAGGGAGATTTCAGCCTTGAAGATGAAGAAGGTCGTGGAAGGCCTTCCTCTCTTAATGATGATGTTCTGCGATCAGTGGTGGGTGCAGAGCAACTCAAAGTCAGTAAAACGACCGTCGCTGACCACCTCAAGGCGATTGGAAAAGTGAAAAAACTCGAAAATTGGGTTCCACACTCATTAAACGATCGCCAAAAAAATCAGCGCTTTGATGTTTGTGCATCACTTCTTTGTCGAAACAAAAATGACCCATTTCTGGCCAGAATTGTTACATGTGACGAAAAGTGGATTCTCTACGATAACACTAGACGTTCTGGACAGTGGCTCGACAAAGGAGAAGCTCCAAAGCCCCCAACTCATCAAAAAAAGGTAATGGTTACGGTATGGTGGGCTTCATTTGGTTTAATACACTACAGCTTCTTAAATCCTGGCGAAACCATCAATGCTGAATCATACTGTAACCAAATTAATACCATGCATCAGAAATTGGCAGTAATGAAGCCCTCTTTGGTCAATCGGAAAGGGCCCATTTTGTTGCATGACAACGCTCGACCACATGTGTCACGTGTAACGTCACAAAAATTATTGGAGCTTGGCTATGAAACTTTGCCTCACCCACCCTACTCTCCGGACCTCTCGCCTACTGACTACCATTTTTTTAGACACCTGGACCACTACTTACAACACATAATATTCAAAAATCAAACGGAACTGGAAAATGCATTTATTGACTTTATCAATTCTAAAAATTCTGAATTCTACTCAGACGGAATTAATAAGTTACCAACACGTTGGGAGAAATGTATTGAGAGTATGGGAAATTATTTTGATTAAAGAACATTGCTTTAAAGTAACTAGTTTCTTTTTTTTTGTTTAATACCAAAATCCTGCATTATTTTCCGGACAACCCAATACTAGAGTAACCCCTCACCCCATTTTTCCCTTCACTACTTTTTTCCCATTTAGCATAAAATTTCAGCATTTTGGTTCGATGTAATTAAAGAATAGCGTAGACCGCAAGAAAGTTTATTAAATGCAGAAGTTGTTATGAAATTTACTATGCTCTACCGTCAATTTTTTCCAAAGAGGTTGCAAATTTTGTTTTTTTACAAATTTTAAATTTGGCAGTGTTTGAAACATTTATTGTTTGTTTTTGCTTTTTTTTTTTTTACTAAAAGTAAAGTTGAAAAATTTTGGATGGGTTACTCCTTAAAAGAATTTTAACGCTCATTTCGATGCTTTTTCCCAAAAAAAATTAATAGTTCAAGAGCTACGAGCAGATTTATGACGAAAACCGTAAACAGTCGGGGAAAACAAACGTAAAATGTTGAATATATTTAAATACATTCACAACAAAGGCGGAAAACTACATTTTTTTAATTAATTGAATTACTTGAAATATTGTTTTTATCGGTTTCTGTGGCGCCATCCGCCAAAATAAGTTCCGTTAAAATTGGTGAACCAAAGTTCGTACTCATGTATGTCTTCACACGAATACCGAAAATTTAAATTTACTTTTTTTTATATATAAAATATAACTAGGAAGATTACAACCGTTCTAATTTTGCATTTGAATTTTTTAGCGCTTTTCTGACTTTTGATTTGTAACACGATATTATTTTTGTTATTTGTTTAGGACAAATGTGATGATTTTATTTTCTAAAATGATTTTCGTGTAATTCTTCCAAGGCTGTACTGGAAATTCCAGTACCATTGTGTCTCAAATATGATAATTTTGTGTTTAACATCTCTCTCTCTCTCTCTCTCTCTCTCTCTCTCTCTCTCTCTTCGGTTTTTGGCCTTCGATTTCAACGGAAAGTGCACAATAGCATTACAATGATTTGTCGGAATTAAAAAATGCAATGCGCCCCATAAAGTCAAGGCAAAAAGTCCTTCATTACTTCCTAGTCATCTAATGGTGGCTCTTCTGTATCTCCATGATCAGCCTTGTATTACAAGTCTTGAAACCAGATTAAGTCCCAGTGTTATACACGCAAATTTAAAACTTTTTAAAAGTTTAAATTATAATTAAATTGTTTACATTGATTGAGTGCATTTTTTAAAATAAAATTCTCTGGATAAACAAAATTTTTACAAATATAAACATCAGATTATAGTGATTGTAAAAGGAATTCGCCTTTCTTTCTAACTCAAGTTTACCAGAATAAATAAAACTCAACGGTTTCAGATTACTCACGTTGCGATAAGCTGGCTGTCTACGTTTCTAATAGAGTGTAAAGGAATTCTAGTGTAAATAATCCATTTTCTCACCCGGATAATCAACCCTTCCACGAGGGGTGGTTCCGGGAAGAGGCCTGTACTCAAACTGTCTTCATTTCGAGACATCTACACGTTCTGTTGATGATTTGTTGACAAACCTTCTGTTATCGAAAAACCCGACATAGTAAAGTTGAAAGATGGCTTATAATTAATCTTGTCATTTGTAAACACGATCCGCAATTGGGGATTACGGCTCAAAATTGTCAAATGTTGGCGTATGTTTATATATTCTGAAATAAACGTCTGGAAGGATTGTTCAGGTTTTGGTGAATTTTCTTGGTGGTACTTTGTTACAATGTTTGTGCTATTCAACTCGTATTGTTTTTCTTTCAGGAGTATTTCAAATCGACGGAGGTCGTCCTCTGTGCCCAGTTCTTCTTCATGATAAGCGGTTTCGAACTGCAGGCTTTGAATGACAGCTTGCTTTTTCTTACAGGCTTCAAACCAGAGGATTTACGTTTCATTTATCGTCACGATGTTAATTCAGCTTATGAATAAGTCCGTTATCAGTCGAGTTTTGCACAACAAAAAACGTAACAATTTTTCAGCCCTGAGGTTTAGCCTAGTGCTTTCTGAAAATGCAAAAGTTTAATGAAAATGCTTCATTTGCAAAATTCTCAGTCTTTCTCTTTCAGCACTAACTTAGTATGTGCAGCATTGCAAAACCCGACAGAAAATTCATCCCTGTCAGAAAACTGGAGCGTACCAGATAAAATCCCATTATCGATCAACATCTCTGCATTGAACTGCAAGTGTTACATTTAAAAAAAAGGGGTTGAAAACAAACAAAAAAAAAATTTTCGAGAAGTATAAGACTCGTTAGGGGCTTTGGGAAACATCAGAAAAATTAAAGAAATAGTTTTTTTTTAATTCCCACCTTGAGCGGAGTTGACGACGAGGAAGAGGACGAAAAGCCTGAAGACGTCCATTGTACGTTTAACGAGCCGAGCACGCTCTGAGCTTGTCCATGCTCCTCAGATGGGACCGGGCTCCTTACTGGGGGTATTCCCCCCACCAACAACTGACACAAATCCCCCCCAAAATCCCCTCCAGGACTAAACAACACCCACAATATTGCCTAAACTGCAGAAACCCCGTCTAATTACCTATTTAACTATGATATAAACGGGCAGAGTGGATAGGGGGCTGCGTCCGACCTCCCAAACCCCTGCTCGTCACGAAGAACCCTGAGTATCGACAGCAATTGAATCTGACTCCTTACATTTCTTATTTTTGGCTTTTTTACATAAACTGTTTATTGCCTCAATACTTCCTAAGACTAAGAAGACACGTTTCGCCAAGAAGCGTCGTACTTCATGAATCCAAGCACCTTACGAAGAAGCCTGAGTTTCTCCGACAATTGACAAATCTGACTTCTTACATTTCANTTTCTCCAAAAATTGTCAAATTTAGCTTCTTGACTAACTAATTACTTTCTAAGACTTTATGTAGACCACGACTAAATCCAATAACTGAAAAACTCCCATAGCACTACATTCCATTCACATCTCCACACAATAAAGAGACGATGGCCTAGAGATATCCTCAACAATGACAATGACGACGAGGTTGAGTGAAAAACATCTTATAAATCGTTTATATATAATAATAAAATAAACATTTTATAAATCATGTCTTCTTGTTGGGTTCGTCCAGTGCATTATTTCTTCGTTCTTTCAAAGTTTTCTTATATTCTGTTGGTTATTTGCCATAACATTATTGCTTGTTCCTCCGGTTCTGTTGTATTATGCAACGGCAAAAATATTTACATAAAGGCAGAAAATTAACTGTTTCGCGTAAATTTACTTTTACAAAGTACACTTAAAACTTCATGCCAGGTTTTTTCTTTGTATAACGCAAAATTGGCTAAACTGCACTAACCCTGGGCAAACAGGTCCTTAACTATATAGCTATAACTATAAGCTTGATTATTAACAATTATTATTTAATATCACTTCTTATGTTTGGTTTTGGTATGCATTGTTTCTTAAGATTTGAATAAGATTAGGTTCTGGCATTTTTGCCATAATCATCTCTTGTTTCTGGTTGAGTTAGGTTAGGTTAGAAATGGTTGCATTGGGTAGGGATAGGAAGGGGATGTATTTTAGGAGGTTACATATCCATGATTCAATGTTCTTCCGTGAAGTGGAGAAAATATGACAATGTTTCTTCCATTTTGTCCTTTTTTTATTATTACCGGCAAGTTTTTTTTGTTTTGTTTTTTATTGAGACGGAAGGAAATAAGAAAATTTTAAACTTATTAAACAAAACAGAAAAGTTTTAATGTCACGAAACAATCCAAATATTGAAAAAGAAGGAAGTAAGATAATCTAAATCTCGCTTCTCTCACATCTTACTTTTCCGCCGTTTCACCACAATTTTATGTGGGCTTTCAAACGATTTCAGCTGATCTACAATACGAATTGTAATTGCTGGTTACACAATTTCGGACCATTTCGCGTTACACGGGAGTGTGGATGGTTTAGGTTAGGTTAGGTGAATGGTTAGGTTAGGGTCAGATTTAGGGACGGGTTAGGTTTCTTATTCATGATTACCTGTGTATCCGAGAAACAGATAAAATCTCTCTTTTAAGGATACACTTACATGTTTATTTCTTGTTTTGTTTTTTTAAGCCGCAGGTTAATTGTAAGTAAAAACATGTCCCCTCACGTTTCCACCGAATAATCAAAATTGTCCATGTCAAATGTAATTGCAAACGATCACAACTGATGCGTAATCCGAATTTTAACATGGAAAGATACACATGTACAATGTTGTATTCACAAATTGTTTTGCTTGGTCATTTTCGCGTTACATCATCGGTTGGGCTAGGTTATGTTATAAATAGATTAGGTAAGTTTAAGGAAGGTTAGGGTTTAGTGTTATGGTTAGGACTAGAGACGGTTAGGTTGCATATTCATGATTCATTGTTTTTCAGAGAAGCGAAGAAAATATGCGAGCGTCTGTTCTTTTCCTTTTAAGTACCGGCAAGAATTTCTTAGACGCAAGGAAATCTTAATATAGTTTCTCCCACATTTCACGTTTCCTCCGAATCATCACAATTGTCATATTAATTGTAATTGCAATCGATCTCAACTGATGCTCGCAACTAATTTCAACATGAATATGTTTTTTAAGGTGGGTACACAACTTTTTTTGCTTGGCTATTTTCTCAACACCGGGGAGTGCGCATGGGTTGGGCTAAATTATGTTAGAAATGGTTAGATTAGGTATGGTTAAGTTAAGGACATTGTCTCATTTATCTTTTTTGCTTGTTGCGACTAAAGGCGCAGTTATAAAAGTTATTATAAAGTAAAATAAAAGTTACAACGTGGCAAAGAGACAGTTCTGTGATTCTCACCGATTGAATCCATGGCCTGTTCTCATCTTGGTTAATTTACTATGTTGGTTCAGCATAACCCTGGCCTTCACGACAATATTCCAAAGTTTTTAGAATATTATTAGCTACCTTTGTAGTATTTGTGAGTTACCCAAAAACCCGTTGAAAAAAACTAGATGTAGACAGCTAGCTTTCCAGTACCTAAAAATGAATGGCTAAAATTCGGCTCTGGTTATGGAGAAGAAAGAGTTTACAGGGTCATTTTTCTGATCGTTGTTTCTTAAATCTTTTCTGAAGCGACGGTGTATATTTTACGCTGGTTCTCATTGGCGAGGGTTTCAACTTAAAGATGCTGGGTAAAAGGAAATAACGTTAGTTGAGGTGCGTCGGTGGCCGCAACGGTGTAGGCGTAGACACGGCGTTCAACTCTGTAAGGTAAAGGTCCCGGGTTCGAATCCAGCGGCCCTGCATTCGAACCCGACATACTTACGAAGATTATTCGGAGATCGTGAGATGCGGTCTGGTGTGACGTAGGTTTTAGAAAAACATTTTCTTTATCGGGCCAACGTTTCGATCTTTATTGAGATCATCTTCGGGGTTCAAAGTGTTTGTTTTCTGCATAATTGTGCCATTCTTGTTCTCTCAACTCTGGCACCCCGAGGGTTGATATAACTAACCTCTGCTGTTGCGAACCCTCGTAAAAAAAAGATTAGACTCTGACTTTTTCAATCGCTTGAGAAAACAAAGAAAAACTATAATTTTATTTGTTGTTGTCCTACATATTAATGTTAGGGTAGAAGTTACCAACTACAATAAAAACAAGGCAGGTCAACATTTCAACATGGAGGGAGAACATTCACTTGCAATGGAGGGAGAAAGCCGTAAACAACGCGCAAGAGGATAACTAAAGGATCAATCAAAACAAAGGACAGTAAGCAAAGTAACGGAGATTCAATCGTCTTCCTTTGTCAGAAATCTACAATAATTAAACTTGCTAAATTGTCAAGAATTGTCGGAATTGTTTTGAGAAATTTCCAGACGTATTTAACTGTTCCAATTCCTTAATCGAATTACACCCAGACGGCTGATAAACATCCCCCAACCATAAAAGATTCCCATATTTCCACTCAAAATGTTTGCACGCTCATCGCCGACCTTAAACATCTCCCAATTGCTATATATCATTCGTCTCGAACATTAGTTGTTGTTTTTTTGTCTTCATTTTTAGACTTAACAGTTTACGATTCCACATATCCTCATTTCGTGTTTTGATTACATTTCGTTTAGGGTGTAAGTGAAAGGCGGACGCCGTCGTATACAAAATTTTGACGCACACATGTCTAATCTCAAGAATGTTACGCGACGAAGACTAAACAACAACAGGAAAATACAAAATTTCGCCTCCCCAACATTCTTATCTACGTGTAACGCCATGAGAAATATTGAATATCGACAGGAAGTTGAAAAAGAATACATTAAGGAAATATCTGGCGTCCTTTAATGAAGGTTGTTATTTATTTATTTAATTAATTTCCTATTTCGTTAATAAATTATGTTTATTGTTGTTGTCTGATTGGCACGTAGTTTCCAGGGCATGGGTTTGTACTTTTTCCCAATTTTCGGGAATGATTGTACTCTTACCATTTTACGAGGGTGATTGATGTGATTTAGATGAGGAAAAAAATCAACGCACTGCTGGTGGTCATTTTGTTCCAAACTTTGCACCCTCGTAAAACGGTATCCCTCCCGACAGAAAGTATCCCAACCTCTCTATTGTGAAACACCAAGATCTATACACAACGCACGTGTACAGGTTTCGGGATCACGATTGATAGAATGCACAATTTCCTCACCTACATCAATTCACTGATTGTCTTTCCTCGTTCTTCGAGTGAATGAACCAGTTTCCCTCAGCCTCTGATGAAGTCGTTGGAAGGTGCGATCTGCTGGAACGTCTCGACGTGAAAAACGAGCTTGGTAATCTCTCCCTGCAGTAGTAGCATTACCGTCGAAGTAACCGTTAATGAAATGCATATCCGCAAGATGTGCATTAGGAAACAAGGACATAATTTAAATCTCCAACCTGAGGAAGTTGTCAGCTGATAACATAAAGCAAACTGATTGAATTGAACAATAAAGAACCGACACGAAACTCAAGAGCCAGACGGATTTCCACTCCTCCTCCATTGAGCGTGCCCCTTCATCGACACCAGCTTTTTTTTTCAACAAAATGCAAAAATTTTCGGCTTTCCAGAAGCGCAATCCAAAATGGTAGGTATATCACTAGAAGCTAATTGAATGGAGAACTTTTGAGGGAATTTGCAAAGCTCGAGGAGTTTGTAGTTATAAACAGTTACAATCCAACATTTTTAAAAAATTCCAAATTTCAACATTTTAGTTTTTTTCTGGATTTTTCGTGCAGAATTTTTTCATCAATTCTGCAACGTAAATAGGTTTCCTTATAGCAAATTCAACGTCAGCAACGTTCTTTCAGGTGGTACAATCCAGATTGAGGGTTCCAGGTTAAATGTTTATCAAAGATTATTCCTACGTATTTAACCACATTTTTTAGCTGCAGCATTTCATTATAGAAGCATAGGCCTTGTATTTCTATGTTTCTTTTCTTGTTGAAAGCAATTGTTTTTGAGGGGTTTGCTTTAAGTCGCTAT